TTCTTTATTGTATTGTAAGACACAATATTGAATATACACATAATAGAATATTCTATTTCTCTCTTTCTTAGATATTGTAACATTAATGAACAAAGAAATCATATAATTTTTTTTTCCCTATCGAAAAATCCGAAATCTGAACAGGTCCAGTCCAATTCGATAGATTTGGAATGATTTTTTAAATCCGGGATTTGATTATGTTTTGGAAAATTAGGAAACCGATCTCCACGGATTGGTTCCGGATTTAAGTTCACAGTTCCAGATTAGAACTGAACTGGCGTATGTAACTTAAAGCCATATATATGCTATATACCATGATGCATACAATCCTAGATATGATGTTTGTTTAAGTTATGTTTTGAAAAATCATGAGCAGGTTAATGACTATTTGCTTAATATTATGTTTTCGTTTGGTGGGCATATTATTATTATTTTTAAAATTTATGATAGATTGAATTTTTTTGAAAATATTATATGATTTTTTTTTGTGAACAGATTATACAAACTTGTGGTTCCAAACCGAGCCGAACTTTGTTTAAATGGTTTGGTTTGAATTGATTTCATGATTTAAATAGATTGGTTTAATTCCTTTTTTTATGGAACTGTAAACAATATATTAGTCCTGCTTTTATCCGAAGCCAAACCAATACAATCCGGATAATGTTCACCCCCTACTACTTAGTCCTCCCCAAAGCAAATCCTATAATTATTATGCACAAGAATATTACATCCACGAGTGTACCGAATTAAAATTAGGCATGAATTGCGTCCAAACCATCAACATGAAATTCACAGTACTAGCCAAATTAAAGAACAAAAAGAAAAAACCATATACTCTAAACTCCAACACTACATACTCGACAATCATTTTCAAAAAGAACAACCAGCTAGAAGAAGCCATTTGAAAATACTACCAATGCAACAACTGTGAACAAGCTTAGCCTAAACCTTTGATTTACAAATATTGTAGACACAACATCAACATAGTACATTTGATAACTCCAGGATAAAGCATCATATTCGCATGAAAAGATAACCAGGATTTTAAATTTTGGCCGTTGTATATCATATTGACTGTTACATGATGGGATTTTGGATTGTCGATAGCATTATTCACTAATAAACAAAAAGGAGCAAAAGAGGAAATTGAAAGAGAGAGAGCCCATGTTATTGTAGCAAGGGGAACTCACCTTTATTATATAGGGTCATAGATTACTTCTAATTCAAATGTGTGTCGATGTATGGTATACTTTAAACAATATACTGAAAAGGAATTAAAAAAAGAAAAAACTATTTACTTTTAGCTTTGGTACCATGGTAGCTGTCTGTTTGAAAATGGAAACCCAGGATGGCTAGATATTTAGCTAAGAAATGAATGGGGAAATACATTCAACAACAAAGAATCTTCATACTCAACTCAAGTAAACTCAACTAGGCCTTGTCCTAACACAAAGAACAGTATTTAGAATGCATATGGAGGACAGAAAACAAGAGAAATAAATGGGGAAAGACCAATGTGTCGAATCGAAGCACAATACAATACCTAGGTATATCTCAGCTTAAGTTTGGCAGCTTGTGATTAGCATTGTTATCGTTGGGATATGCTCATTTATTCTAAAGCAGAGATAAAGGACTTGATTCTAGGCTTAAAAACACTACTTTCTTTTTTCTTATTTTTTGGAGTCAATTGACAAATTAATTTTTCCCTTGTGATACAAAAATCTGGTATTGAAAATGGTATAGAGCTTGAAGTTTTCTCATGATTTAAGAACAGATAGGAAATAAACAGGTTTTCCAACTTCATGCACTAAGAGCTTCACACAGTGTCACTACTAAAGATAAAGTCTCAGGACCAAACTCTCCAACTATATAAACTAACATCTATTTAAATATTGATGCCGTCCATCAATCAAAAGAGAGCAGAAAGAAAGAGCACCCACATTTTCTAGAACACTTGAATGATATGCATAATCTCGATTAATAAAGACAAAGGGAATGCTAGAAATGCATATTGATTATGTACACAGAAAATAATCAAAATAAATAGTGAAATAAAGAAAAATCAATTAAATATGATCCAAATCTGAACACAAAAATTAGATATCGTAATGAGATACCCAAGAATCAATTAATAAACAGTTCTTAAATGAAACATATAGTGAGAGAGATGGCAATGGAAACCAAGCAATTGAAAAACAACCCTAGAAAGCTGAAAGTCATATATTGTTTGATTTCTATATCCATTATGTTTTTCGGTTTTGAGTGAACATTTATTTTTTGATTGTGATATTCCATCATATAATAGTCTTGTAACATCTAGGTTATTCATTTAGAAATAAGCATTTTTTTGATCACATGGACTATATAGTGTACTTTTTATTTTTATTTTTATATACACCGTGTTCGTTGTTTCAAGCATAAAGAGCCATTGGTAAGAATTAAAAAATGACATTTTTATAACTTTTCAATTGGAAACAATTCTATTTCTAACTCCAACTCTCTCATACAAGAGCCATGCTTCAGTTTTGTGAAGTAATATGGCCTTGGTGTGCTCAACACCTGACCTTGTATCTGTTTTTGTATAAGAACTTTGGTATGTTTTTTAACTTTAATGTTCACCTCAAGTTTTTAAGTTTTAATCTTTAGGAGGCAATGAAAATGAAAATTGAAAGTTTTGATTTCTAAGTGCTTCATTAATAAAAGCAAGGTACTCTGACAGATAATTATTCCCACAAGCTATTGAAGGAATCTTACCCGTGTTGTTTCTAGCTCATCAGTGAACTGCGACTTTGTGAAGGTTAGTCTTTTGGTTTAGTGGAAAATTAGACTTTATGCCGAAACATTCATGTCATGTAACACATGAGTGATAGGAAAATCTTTCTTCAACATAGGATCACAAAGCAAAGCCGAAAATCACAGAAAAGAAGCAAACCCAGTGGTGAAGAAGGAAACATATGTCAAAACAGATAAACCCCATAAAAAATCACCTAGAGGTGGAGGGTAATGGTCCCAAAAGCATAATTGGATTGCCAAAATCAAACCCATCGAACTCTCTTTTGCCCTGCATAAACAACAACTTCAAAAGAGGTGCAAAAGATGAACAATATTCATACTTTGACACTGCAATATCTGCACAAATACCTAAAGAACAAAGGACCACTGTGATATAAAAAAACTGATTGAGAGGATACTATGAGAAAAATTCACTTAATCAAAGCTAAAACAAAAACAAAAACCAAAAAAGGACCAAGCAGGAATCAAACACGACCTTGTTAATTCCGATAACTAAAAAAAAATAAAATTGCAGACTAAATTGAAAAGACACATGCAGATAGTCGGAGTAAATGGAACACCCAAGTGTGAATATCTTTGAAATCCAGAGTATCATATAGTTCACAGGTAAATGTACATGGATAATTTGAACAAACGAAGAGTATTTTGTAATTAGCTAGAGTCCAGAAAATTTGACGCTTCTAGTATGCCATGTTTGAGAGATAACATTTAACCACATAAAAAGGTTAATCCATTCATGACTTCACATGTAAATTAAGTCACAATCTGGTTAAGATAGTCTTTTGAGGAATTAAAGTAGAATAAGAACTACATTGCTCAGCAAAAAGCCTCAGCCATAGAGCAAGCCTCTGTATTTATAAATAAAGCATCTTGGATCTTGAGAATGGAAATTAAAGAAAATTATTGCAATCAAATTGGTTTGGTTTTCCTCCTTTAGTATCAGAACAGTCCACAATACTTTTGTCCCTCAAAGAAAAAAAATGGGAGTCTTTAAGAGCAGAGAGAGATTTTGAGCAGAGAGATGGGTGAAACACGAAAGAGAGAGCCTTTTATTAGTCAACAAGTTTGCTCTCAGTGAACAGCCGTAACAGTCAAACTGGCCTCATTTGACAAGTGACTCTTAGTCAAAAAATCATTAAAAAAATAAAAAAACTAACAATTCATACCAAAAAATTAAAGATTTTCTTTTCTCTTTATTTTTTTGCACATCTTTTCATAAAAAGTCAAAAAATTATCCCAAATATACTAATTTTTTTTAGCTCATATTTTAACTAAATAGCCAACAAATTATTAAATTAACTTGTTCCCAAACGAGGCCCAAGGGGCACTTTCAGCAGAAAGTGGCAAAGTATGAGCCACAGATGAACACTATTTTTACTGTAGCAAGGGCCAACTCTCCTTTACTGCGTGTTTGATTGGGGGGACTATGGGGGGACTATCCACTATTTGGATTGTAATCCAAATAGTTCTCCTTATCCGTCGTTTGATTTTTTTTTAGTCCGGCGGACTCCATGTCCGGCCGGACTCCATGTCCCCCATATGGGGGACTATCCTATCCTGGGGGGTGGGATTGTTTTGGGGGGACTAATCACTAGCTTCTAGTATGCCATGTTTGAGAGATAACATTTAACCACATAAAAAGGTTAATCCATTCATGACTTCACATGTAAATTAAGTCACAATCTGGTTAAGATAGTCTTTTGAGGAATTAAAGTAGAATAAGAACTACATTGCTCAGCAAAAAGCCTCAGCCATAGAGCAAGCCTCTGTATTTATAAATAAAGCATCTTGGATCTTGAGAATGGAAATTAAAGAAAATTATTGCAATCAAATTGGTTTTCCTCCTTTAGTATCAGAACAGTCCACAATACTTTTGTCCCTCAAAGAAAAAAAATGGGAGTCTTTAAGAGCAGAGACATGGGTGAAACACGAAAGAGAAAGCCTTTTATTAGTCAACAAGTTTGCTCTCAGTGAACAGCCGTAACAGCCAAACGATGAACAGTGTTTTTACTGTAGCAAGGGTTAACTCTCCTTTGCTATATATGTATTGATGACAGAAATTTTCCATAATCAATTTTATTATTATTAATTTGAACTTGACTCTATTAATCATTGAGGTTTAGGATTAGAATCTATGCTCAACTTTCATGTAAAATTTGAGTTGATTAAGCTTCCCTGCACATCACATCAGTTGTAGGCCAAAAACAGACACTTAAGAGAATTGGATTACTCTTTAGAAGCAGTCAAAAGTACATCACCTTACTCAAAAAGGTATACCATTTATACAATGCATTCATTTTTTCTTCAATACTTCCCCTGAGGGGCAGCAAGAATTACCACCCGGACAATTTCTCTTTCTGTTTTCTACGTGCTTCTATTTTCTATCATCTTATGAAGAGAAATGAGATAGTCGCTCCATTGCATCAACTGCCAGCACGAGTTACCTGAGTCAGTGTCTTTTAACAGTAGTAATGGGAAAACATGCAATCAGCTCCCATTGGGCGGTGTATAGATTTAGGATTTGAGGAGGAATTTGCGGAGGAAAAAGAAAAGAGAAAGATAAATGTAACAAAAAGTAGACTTCTATTTTGTCCACTTTTTCCCTCCTATTTCCTTTCCCTCAGCAAATCCCTCATCAAGTCCTTGCCCCAAAGACAACCTTAGCAACTTAATCTGTCTGCTCACGTACCACACTGCAAGGAGTTTAAGAGACACAGTGTTCCGAATCCCTCCCCACAAGGGTGCAAAGAACCTTTGATCACGGCCCCATCAGGATCAAGCTTAAGATCTCCCTTTTGAGAAATTATGACGGCCATTTGGACACCCAAAGCTCGTGTACAAGCCCTTGACCTTTCTCATTCGTCTGTCTACTCTTTTTATGGTCAGGATATCAACGAACCACATGGCATTCTTACTGGTGAGAACACCACAGTAAGTCGGGCGTGATCTGAAAGAGAATAGTCTTCAGGCCACATTCCTTTCTCCACTTCCGTGGGGAAAAGAACTGCATTCTTGACACTGAAACCAATAGTTTGCTCCATATTGTCCACAGCATCTTCCCAGACCTCATTGCATATGCCATCTCTTTCCTCTGACCAAGTAGGATGCCAAATTCGCTGCTGTAATGCCGTTGTTAATAACATAAGCACCGCATATAAATTAAGAAAGATTTTTTTTAAAAAAAATTACACCTGTTATTCCTTTGGTGCAGTTTTTCAAATGTTTTTGCATTTTTCAATACACTTGCTACACCAGAAAATAGCAGGTAACATGGTAAGACATTCAAAAAATTGAAATGTCCCATACCCTTCTAAGGCCAAGAAATCCAAGAAACTTTGAGGTGAAAAATTAATATGCAAATTGCTTGATCACAGAAGCACTTGATAGGCCTGTTTGGTGTAGCTTCTTGCGAGCTAAAAATTGATAATCAAAAAGCAGAAGCTAAAAGAACCCCTCCACTGGCTTCCTAACAATCAGCTTATTTAAGTTATTTTGCCTCATAAATTGTATGTAGAAGTTGCACCAAACACTGGCACAAATTTTCAAAATAAAAAAGTTCAAGTAGCTGCACCCGATACCCTGAATTATAAATACTAGTGTTAAGCCTAGAAAGCATTTCAACTTAGGTGGGGTGCTCATTTTCCATATTTGAGAAACATGAACCAAGGACGGGGCCTTGAGGTTGTAGGTTCGAATGCGAGGCAATATTACCAAAGGTTAAGATTGTACCCAATCTAACCATCGCAGAGTCCATCTAATGGGAACTGGGCATACTTTGTTATAAACGAAGAAGTAAATTGGCCTGTGGAAGAGGACTTATACTACCCATAAATAACTGCAAAGTAAAGAAAAAATTAATGAACATATTATACCTGAAATTCTTTATAATCAAGAACACCATTTCCATCAATGTCTGCTTGCACCCACAAGTCCTTAGTCTCTTCAACACTCAATCCGTGGCAATGGCCAATCAAATTAAGCTGCAGGATTACAGGACATTAGTAGGTTTATGTTTTCAGTGGAAGATATATATTGGCCATGTCCAGCCAGAAAAAATAAATAAATAATAAAAACAGAAAGAAAAGAAAAGGTTGAATCAAGTAATGTCCAAACCTGTCGTAATGCTTCACAGAAACCAGAGTAAGTAATGTAATCACCAAGGCTATCGGCCTTCAAAAAGGCAAATGCATCTTTCTCTGTCAGGGAGGCTCGCCGAAGTAGATACTGAAAGTGAGAAAATTCAGCGTTGAGAAGAGCATATTCAGATGATATTTTGTTATTTCACACCAAGGAAAAATTTCAAGCCTCAAGCATCAAGTGATAACTTGCAAGTCTTTTAAGAAACTTCACACGGAGAATGTCAAAATTGATATTGGATGTATATACACAATCATCGGTGGCACAGTCTGTATAAGAAGATTAGCAATGTTTCTCTTAAAGAGAATAATTTGACTGTATGGCCCAATCTCAAACCTGAGATATCTTGCTTTCTAGGAAAAGAGAATTTCATGACAGAGAAGCCTATATGAACTTGGAAATTATGTGTAGTCCCAGCCCTATTTGACTCCATGAAAAGCCAGTTCACCCTTTCTCATGGTGATAGACGTACAAGTATAAAATCTAACACCCCACGATAAAGGGTTCACAGCTTGATAGGACTAATGAAAGGAATGTAATAATTTGTACACCCTGGTGCCGTAAAAGTGGAAAGAAGACAGTATTTAAGTGCGGAAGGGAACAAAAGCACATACAGAAAGGACAAAATTACAATCCCATTGACCAAAATACTCTCCCATTTATTGCCAACTACCAAGAGATTTTAACAGGCTTTGGTGAGACATAATACTAAGCTCACAGCCATCTTTACTATTATTTGTGATAGCATTAAAATGCACTCGTTTGATAATTACTTGTAAGTTCTATCTACCTCTATCATGAGCATGTAGCACCGGAAGCACAATACCACATCTCAAAGAATTGGTACCTTTCCTGCCAACATTATCAAGCAATGAGAAATGATCGAAGACCTGAATTACAAATCATTCATAGCTTTCACTATTTCATTTAAGGTGCAACCATGCAATGCCCTCTAATACAGTCAACTTCTTCTTTTTAATAATTAAGAATTGCATATAGAAATCTACCAATAGAAATATATACAAAGTTGGAGAAAATAAATTGCTCACCTTGAACATGCCAAATACTGCTTCAGTCCAACTTGTTTTTAGTAATTTACGGTATCTATTAGGATTAAGAAGCCATATAAAATCAACACCACAGATATTCCCCCGATGATTACGGTGGCTAACCCACTGCATGAAAAAATTATAAAGGTGAGAAATAAGTTTGAATTTCGACATGAATTTATGAATGGGGGGGAAAAAAAAGTGAATGAGAAAATCAATAAAGGCATGGTATTAACCTTCTGTGCATCTGCATCTGTGTACTGATGAGCAGTATCATATGATGAAACAAACCCCTGAGATCTAAGAAACTTGTAAATATGTCCTCGCTTGCTTCCATTCCAGTCACTGAGCAGGTAAAGAAATGCATGATAATGAAAATAAGTAACTGCACTCTTGACATTAGCAAAGGCTTATCAAAGTAAGAGGTGTAAGAAATTTACCCACAAAGCATGATGGGCAAAGGATTAAGCTTGCATTCTTTCTGATAAGATTCTACATACTGCAAGATTTTATAGACCTATCACAACACATGAAATGCAAATCAATATTGGAAAGAGCAATAATATTACTGAATGATATAAACACAAAACAAGGGCTTGAAAAAATTAAACTACCTGATTCAGTCGTACCAAACACAAAGTTGAATCGTGTGGAAACAATAGGTGGGTGTTCACGATGAGCATTTCTTGTCGAACATTGTTGGTTCGACCTTGTGAAAAAGGTGCAACAAATTCAACATGTAATAGCTGAGCAACACGATCTCCAATATCATTGAATAGAAACTCTCGGTGGTTTAAAACCCTGAAGTAGTCTTTATGCACAGCCGTCAACAGACCTGTTAAATTTAAACAGGAACAACTTAGGTTTGGACACAGAATGAGAACAATGAATGAAAAATCAAAAAAAATTATGGGTACTAAGAAGTAAGATCAAATTAGTGATCAACCATGCTGATATACAAAATAAATCCCCTAGAAATTTTGGATTAGCAAAACAGAATTTATGATTTTCATATTTGTTACAATAAATTGACCTGCTTTCTTTGTTGGTTCAAAAAATCATGAAATGGGGAAACCTCCAATGAGGCACTTTGATTTAAAGAGGACTTTCACAAATAATAGAAACTAGATTCTCCAATACAGAAAAGCAATTTGATCAATACATATATGCAAATCAGACAATCAACTAAGCAAATCCAAAGAAAGCCTTGTATGATCAATTTGTTATAGTCCATATATATATAACTGTATTCACACACACACAACTGTATTCACACACACACACACACACACCCATATATATATGATCAATCAGATAAATTTTGAAAGATGTATTACATACATGTTTGATTGAATAAGACTGAAAATACAAAAAAGATAGGAGAGCAGAGCATACCATCGCCACGGTTGTTGGTGCGGGCAAGCTTGAAAGTGATATAGCCAGCATCACCAAGTCTCCTTTCATACATGTCAACAAGTTCTTCATTTCCAACCCAAAACTCCTGTCACAAACACAAACACAATCACAATTTCGCATTTTAGCATCCGAATTGATCAAAATCATCCATTAACAGAGAAGAAAAAAAAGGGGGTAAATAAAGGGAGAACCTGAAGACAAATAATCGAAGATCTTTCATACAACAACCAATCCAATATCGAGTGGTTCCTATTGAGCCAATACGCTCGGATATCACTTTCGCGACAACTCTGATCCTGTTGATTTCCCCCAAAAAAGAATGTGAATTTCAATCAAATGTTGAAGATTGGGGATTTATTAGATTGATGGGAATGAAAATGGGTTTACCTCTTTATTGAGCCTCTTGTAAATGGGGGCGAGAATGTTGAAGGTAGTGCAGGAAATGGAAGTTGGGTCAGCAATGGATGATGCAATCGCATAGCTTCCAATCCTCGAAACCCTTCCCTTTGTCTTCTTCGTTCCCATTCGTATATATGTAGGCACATACACGAGTCAATCGATGAAACTGATCAACAATGAAAGAAAACCCAGATGGGTAAGAATAGAGGATTACTAAGAGAGAGAAAGTTGAGAGTGATGAGAGAGAGATATCGTGTGGAATCAATTTTTAAAGAGCTTAGAAGCTGTGTATGTATATGAGATGTGATGATGTGTATTGTATGCATATGAGTTTATAAGCTGTGATTGCAATGCAAGTGTTGGTGGTGGGCGAAAAAACAATGGGCTCCACTATTATTATTATTATTATTATTAATTGTTGTGTCATTCATTCATTACTGTCTTCTCTCTCTAGATTCCTACTATTAGATATCGGAAAATGGTATATATCTGAAATAATTTACTCCCTTCCTCAGTCTCAAAATAATGATTTGTTTTGAGTATTATAATTATTATACTTTAAAAAAAGTTAATTTTTTAAAATTACTTTTGGTAATGCATTTTTAAAAAAAATAATTTGAAAACTATTTTTTTGAAAAAAAATGCTTGTTTGGTTTTCAAAAAAATATATAATTACAATTTCAAATTTTCCTCTAAATTAATGATTGAAACAATTAAAAAAATACAAAAAAATCACATCAAAACATTCTCTTAGATTTTTTAAATATATATATATATATATACATACATATATGTACTTATATGTACCTATTCTACTAAAGCCTACCTATCTCATTTTCAAAACCTACCTATATGTACCTATTTTATTAAAACTTGCCTATCTCATTTATTTTTTTAAAAACATAACTCATTTTTTAGAATAACCAAATAAGTTGTATAAAATTTTCAAAAAATCATATTCAAAAAACCACAACCTAACACAGTGATTAATGTCATAATTTTATTTTTATATTGTTTATAAATTTAAAAGAAGGGCAAAATAAAAAATTTATATTATTTTTGTACTTGATTTTTGAAGAGGGACTAATATTTTAAAAAAATAAAAAATGAAAAAATAGACTAATATTTTGAGATGGAAGGAGTAATAAATTTTTTACTAAAATTTGGATATAACATTCATACAAATTTACATATGTGTGAGTCCAGTATTTATATTAAAAATTTGGTAAAAAATTAAATAAATTATTGAAACTCACTTCATAATTCCTAGATATCATGTGGCCTATGATTTTGTCTACCATCAATTGTTTTCCTACTAGACCAAGTAAACGGGTCTTTATCAAGTTACTTTTATTTATTTTTAATTAAAATAGTAAATAAATCATTAAATTAAACTACTTATTAAGTTAGTATTTTAGTTTTGGTTGATTTGACTTAACAAATATAGTTATTAGTAGTGATTTGGGTTAGCCAGGATTATTTTGAGAAGTTGGTAAAAAGTTAATTTTTGATTTTTTATCAAATTTTTTGAAAAATGATTTGGGAAGTTGATAAAAAGCTGACTTTTAGCTTTTTAGTTTAATATTTGTTTATGATGTTAAATCAAATTAAAATGACCAAAATACCCTTACCTAACATAAGAAATTTATTTTTTTATTTTTTTGTCATAGTCCCCAATTTGTAATTTCACACTTGCGTTTTTGGCACTTCCCAAACCAATTTTGTTGCATTTTTGGACATTTTGACAAAAACGTGACTTTTTATTTTGATTCCCAAAACGGCAACATTAAAAATATTACTTTTTATATTTTAGAATTAATTGTGTAGTGTTTATAAAAAAAATAATTTTAAATTAAAATCAATAAAAATAATATTTAATCAGCATGGAAAAAAGATATAAAGTTCGTTAGAGAATGTGTTGAAAATCTATATAGCCAAAATGAAAAAAAAGAAAAAAAAAGTAACTCTCAAACTAAAATTTAAATAGTTTGATAAGGATGCTTTAATATTAATTTTTTTCTCCTATTCTACCAATTAATATTGAATTCAAAAAATGAATCATACTTCAAAAATTTATACAAAAAATACTAGAAATTCACATATTAGACTTTAAATCGAAGAATTAGACCTATATGATTGAGTGTATATTGTGGGAGGTAAATTTGAACTACCACTCTCTTCAATCCGAACAGGATTAGAGCTAGGCTACTAAATTGAATTAGAAGCTGTGAGTTAGCTCGTTGGTCCGAAACTATTTCTTGGATTTGAATTCTAAATTCAATCAGCTAGATCAAATCTAGCAAATGCAAACTAACCACTCGTAGAAATCTGCGAATGTGGGACATGATTATGCGAATATGGGACATGATTCCGAGAAAAGCGAAACATACGTGAAGAGTGGAAGGGAATTTTCAGCCGCCTCCAACGGTTATCTGAAAGCTAAAGCCATAGCGAATCAACTCAGACAGAGGTATACAACATTCTCTACTCACACATACTTGCTTTGGTGCTTATTCTGTTACTGATTTAAGCATCGGAGATTCGTTTGACTGATTACCAGCCGGAGTTCTTTGTTCATTTGAGTGTTTTGAGGCACTGTTTCTTTAAGTTCACATCGAAGTACCACCGTTGCTGAGTATGATAGATTTTTCCCCACATATGTATTTAATAAAAAAAATTAATACTTAATATGTCGTATGATTATGAAGAACATTTTTAAAAATTAGGAAAATAATAAAAAAGTGAGATTCCGATTAAGGTATCATGTGGCGTATGATTTTGTCTACTATCAACTGTTTTCCTATTATAACAAGTAAAAGGGTCTTTATCAAGGTACTTTTATTATTTTAATTAAAATAATAAATAAATCAATAAATTAAACTAATTATTAAGTTAGTATTTTAGTTTTGGGGGATTTGGCTCAACAAATATAGCTAGTAGTAGGGATTTGAGTTAGTTAAACATTAAAAATAGTACTTATAATATTTTAGAATTAGTTGCGTAGAGTTTATAAAAAATAATTTTAAATTAAAATTATTAAAAATAATGTTTAAATAGCATAGCAAAGGGATATGAAGTTTGTTGGAGAATGTGTTGAAAATCTATATAGCCGAAATGAAAATAAGTAACTTTTAAACTAAAATTAACAAAAATTTAAATAGTTTGGTGAGGATGCTTTAATATTAATTTTTTTCTCCTATTATAACAATTAATATTGAATTCAAAAAATGGATCATACTTCAATAATATATACAAAAAATACTAGAAATTCACATTTTAGATTTTAAATGCACTCACAATAATCGAAGAGTCGGGACCTATATAATTGAGAGTATATTATGGGAGGTAAATTTGAACTACAACTCCCTTCAATCCGAATAGGGTTAGAGTTGGGCTCAAGATCGAAGTAGAAACTGTGAGTCAGCTCGTTGGTTCGAAACTATTTCTTGGGCTTGATTCTAAATTTGAACAACTAGATCAGGTCAACGCTAGATCCAGCAAATGCAAACTAACCGCTCATAGAAATCCGCGAACGTGAGACATGATTCCATGAAAAGCGGAATAGACGTAAGGAGTGGAAGAAAATTCTCAACCGCCTCCAATGGTTACCTGGGAGGTACAGCCATAGCGAATCAACTCAACTAGAGGTATACAACATTCTTTATTCACACATACTTGCTTTGGTGCTTATTCTCTTATTGACTTAATATTAGAGATTCACTTGACTAACTATCAACGGGAGTTCTTTGTTTATTTGAGTGTTTTGAGGCACTGTTTCTTTAAGTTCGCATTGAAGCTCTACCGTTGTTGAGTATGATAGATTTTTCCCCACATATGTATTTAATTAAAAAAATTAACAGTTAATATGTCACATCATTATTAGTTAAATTATAAGAACAATTTAAAAAATTAGGGAAATAAAAAAAAGTGGAAATTTCAAAAATAAATATCAATGCCATGGAAAACTTTATGAGTTTGACTGTTAATATAGCAAAGTTTTTCATTAATTTGTAAATATTTTCCCTACCTTCCACTTAAATGATATTTTCCCTAAAAAAGTTCAAACATTTTCTCAATATTTATAGTGCATATTTATATTTATTTTGTGTAAATAAGCAGTATAACGCAGCGGAATAAAAATTATGGTCATACCTTTCCTGCAGAGTCTGAATAGAAAAGATCTCGTGGGTAAATCACGTGCTTCCTGAATCTGATCAGTCAACCCAGCAGTGGGGTGATATTACAACAGTGAATATCACCCACACAAATCACAGTACAAATGGCTTTGATCGTTGTTTTTGGGAGAGAGTCAGAATATGAGAAATTTCTGTGTGTCTTAAACTTGATAGGAGGGTCTCAATTTATACATGTACAGGGGAGAGAGGAAAAGCCTCCAGCCTTTATGGCTGGTCATTAATGCACCATTAACCTCTGCAATAAAGGCAAGAGTTACAAACCCCATTAATGCAGGAGTTACAAACCTCATTAATGCAGAAGTTATAGTTATAAATTCAAAGCATGGAAATGGTCATGCCACATGGACGCCCATTTCTAACATCTCCCACTTGCACATGAGTTGGCATGACACTGCTACATCTCTATCTCAATCTCCCCAAAAAATGAACAGTCTCATACTAGCCAATGCACCGTGCAACCGCTGAGAACACCTACATGTGGGAGTTCTATACTAGAAACTCAATATGAGTCAGCATAGAGACATCAACCCAAAAAGAACAGAAATAACGTCTCATATACCCCAGACTCATCTAATTACACCGGTCCAAAAAACATCTCTAATTCCTCAAAAAAAGCATGTTTGACCCTCTCAATTCTTGCAATATATTCACACTCA